GGGAACAAAGGCTACCTCTACCACAGCACTTATCACACAGTTTAGTTGATAGTTTATATAACTAATTCTCATGCTACATTTAATACTATTAAACAAGTTAGTTCCAAATGTTGTGGTTGGCTCCAGAAATACAAAATGACCAAAGTATTAAAAGCTCATATTTTAAAGGCAGAAACTGAAAACCAAACTGATAGTCATCTTGTAATATGGCAAATGCTATACTTGAATTATGAGCCAAATGCTATGGGGACAGAAATAAGGGAATGACTAGATTTGATTGTATGCTGCATGACAGCAGGGGTGATCCATGCCTTATTCATCTCTGTGCTGTATGTGGCTAGCACTATGCTTAGTACACAGTGACTATACAATAAGTGTTAGTTAAATTAAGATATAACTGTACTTGATTAAACTGTCTCATTTTCTCCTTTTTCCCCTTTGTTTTTTAGAATGCAAGGTATGGAGAAATCCCCTAAATCTTTTCAGAGGAGCAGAATATAGGAGGTATTAATTTTACGTTCAGTATAATTATGGCATTGGATTTAGAGTAAAAGTATTACGAAAACATTTGTTTTTATAAATATATCACAACTTTTCTAGTTGGACATACTGGTGTATAATAAGGAAAAATGATTAGACCAAGGTCTAGTTGGCAGCCTCTCAACTGTATTTGCTTTTATAATCATGAGAAACATTGCTTCAAACCATATGTTTGTAATATATAATAAGTATACATTTGGCCCTTGGTTTATGGCAGAAAGCTTTTTCAAAGAATTCATGAGATTAAGAAAAAATTACAAATGTCATTTCTGTGCATATGTGCTCAATTTCAACTTTATTTGAGGATTCACTAGAAAATATCAACCTGTATGTGAATAAGAATTTCATCTGTGCAACTGTAGAAAGCATAGTATTCTTACATCGCCATTCCCTGTATATACTACTATGTCCGTTTCTCTTCCAGTTTTTACTCTAAATGAGAAAATATTTTTTGAAGCTTATGACCAAAGATACTTTATTTTTATTTTGAGAAGGGCTATGTTTTACCTGGTGATAGATTGATTTAATTCATTGAACAAGAAACTCTATATGTTTACTATGTATAGGGACTATACAAAATGATGAGAATACTAAATGGTAAGCAAGAATCTCTGTGCTTAAGGACTTGATAGTGTAGGACAGTCACATCCTGGGAAGCAAAAGCTAAGCTTTTATG